GTTTGCAGGCTGGCCAAGCCCCCTGGTGATGGAAGCTCCCAGCCTCTCCTTTTTTTCTTTTTTTTCATTCTGGGATTTATTTACCTTCTATAATTGAAACTTTGTAGCCTTGAGAGGAGCTCAGAGCTGGCCAGGGCAGGCGGGAGGGAAGCCTCCTGCTCGCTCCAGCTCCGTGGCCATGGCTGGCTGAAAGCAGGTATCTGGGGTTTATTTATCTTCTAGAATTGAAACTTTGTTGCTTTCAGTGGAGCTCAGAGCCCACAGCAGTAAGCAGGAAGCTTGGCTTCCTCTATTATTGGGGCAACAAAGCCTCCTGCTTGCTCCAGCTCTTTGGTTGCCGGCTGTCATCTTGGTTGGGTTAATTTGCATATACTTGGTCTGATTGGCTGGTGGGCATGGCTTAAGGTATAGTGAAGGTATGGCCAATTTGCATGTTTGTCTTTTATTAGTGTAGATTATTGAAAACATGCAAACACTGGCACTTCCATTTTATATAGAAAACAAAACAAATCTTGTCATTTGGGGAAAGAAACTAAGAACTCTTCCCTTAAGAATATGCATTGTAATAAAATGAACCCTAAGTTTAATAATAGCATAGCTTCTGGAAAAATTCTGTCCTATGAAAAAGTAGGATTTCTATATTAAGTAGTTTTTGTGATTGAAGAATTTAAGATTAATCATAACCTTAAATAATATTTCTGCCTACATAATGATTCCATGCTAAATGAAAGAGAAAATACAGGAGAGTAGGCTAGATACAGCTATCTTACAAATGAATGCACAAAATAATAAAAAGAGTCCCTTCTCTTTATACCAAGAGGAAAATCTTTTTTGCATCTTCCCTGATCCAGTTCAGGTGCTAGAAGGCTTTTCTTATATCACAGTACCTTCTTTTATTATCCTATGAATGGCAATATCTATTGAGCCCCCAATAATATATTAGACACTGTTCTAGGGACTTCATATATACTATCTTGCGTAAACTTTGAGAAGCACTTAAAATGTGAAGAATTCCTCTCATTCATTTGGCTCTAGATTTGTCAAAGTTTAGAAAAGAGAGATTCCTCTTCTTCACTGGCCCAAGCGGGAACCTCCACTCCCAGCTACAAGATTATTCCTAATATTCTAGTCACTCAAACCATTTTAGACAGAATTTTCTGTATGTAGGTGTGTGGTTATTGTTCCAAGCTAAGGAAATTCCTAAGAGACTCTAATCTAACAACAAAAAAAGAATCAGATCATAGAAACCTGTGTTAGTATGATTCAAAGGGAAAATATGAGCTGCAGTGAAAGCCAATTTGAGCTGGAAAGACTTGCACTGTTAAATCACTAGACATGTGTAGCCACTTATGAAGCTGTCTGATCACATATGTTTTTAAACATCTGTCAGCACAAGCAGAACTCCACATGCAAAACACAGCACTCCTGAGCACAATGGAAGTTTGTGACGAATTCTCAGATTCTCAGGAAGAAATGAATACATTTCACAGGTTGAACATAGGTTATTACTGCTGAAGTTGAAGGAAGTTTTGGCAAGCAACTCCCACAGGCTGTGTGACTCATTTCCTTGGACATTAATATCTTAAAAAGACAAAACTGAGACCAGCAATAAAACCTACAGAGACCTAAAGAGAGAGTTGTCAGGGAGTACTGAGAAGCAGGAGGCACTGGAGACTACAGCTGAAAGCTGAGTCTAACTTCTCTCTTTTTCTTGATAAAAATATTGCAGCGCCATTTCCCCCACCATTAAAAAGTTCTCATCTTCAAGTACAAATACAATTCCTTCCAAACCTGCGGCATTTGTTCTTCCCCTGAAGACATCGTCATACGCTTTCCACTGCGGCTTCACCTGGTAGGCGTGGATGAACACCACAAATACCACCACGAGGCACATTAAAGGGACCAGAGCTGCGGTGAACAGAGCGGCATAGACATTGGGGATGAAACACCTGAAAGAGAAGAGAAGAGCTCACTCAGACAACTTCAATACGAACATTTCTGAAATCCAGAATGTCTGACATCATTGCTTTATGCTAACTCTTTGTATCTAAGTGTTGGCAAAAGCTCATTTTTGGTTTGCCAAATTGAAGCTTTGTTCGAGTAGAGGCTACATGGTTAAATCTCATTCGCTGCTTCACAAAGTAGGATCCATGAAACAAGCTCATCCTGAGACGCTCAGAAAACTTAAAAAAAAAAAAAAAGGTCCTGGCCAAATACTTTGAGAAATGTGCACTTGCTTTGCAGCTCTATCTTCTTGGCCTACTGAGACCAAGGTCACACTGAGGACTGCATGAGAGAAGGCATTGCTTCATGGCAAATCTGAGGATTCCTAGGGCTCAATTCTGTCATTCCTAAGCGATACATTTCCTGTAGAGCCATGAATTCTCTTGAAAATGATGACAACTCTCCATTTAGAAGCTATACCACTCAACTGCATCTGTTATTACTAGAGTTTATCTAGAACAATGAGGTCCAAGGTAAACTTACATTATTTATTAATTTTGATAACATTGAAAGTCTACAAACAATGATTTTAGAGATGTAACTGGAAATTTTTACTCATAATTTATTAAATCATCATGTTCTTTACAAAAATCTTTCATACAAAGATATCAAAATGTGCCTGGCCAGTGTGGCTCAGCTGGTTTGGTGTCGTCCCATGCACCAAAAGGTTACCAGTTCGATTCCTGGGCATGGCACGTGCCTTGATCCCTGGCAGGGGGTGTGCAGGAGGCAGCTGACTGCTGTTTCTCTCTTACATAAATGCATCTCTCTCATTCTCTCCCTCTCCTTTTATCTCTCTCTAAAAATAAAAATATATATATTTTAAAATGTCAAAACGGAGGGCTACTAAATAAGTTCTCAATAGCTGAAACTGTACTCTTCAGGAATTCTTAAAAAGGACATACCTCCTGTAACTTATAACACTATAATACATTTAATGACAAGAAATCTTAATAGTAGGTAGTGTTCTTTTCAAATATTTTCCCCAACTTCTCCATTTTTAATACCTAATACTTATAAACCTACAATACAACAAGTAAAAAAAATAATGGACTCTGAAAAAAATCAAGGAAAAAAATATAACATGTTTAGAAGAAAACCTCAAAATTCAAAATATAGTAATCAGGGAAACATCCATTCTTGCCATTTTGAGGGAAAAAAGTGCTGCAATTTTATATTTAAGAAGAGACATATTATCAAAGACCTTCCTTAGGTATTATTCCTAATTAACATGACCTGCTAAATGTATTCCTCTTATAATCAAGACACATTTCAAGAGATATTTCAACACATATTCTGCATCCGCAAAGAGATGTCAGAATGATGGATTCCTTGGCTTTCAGAATTTAATTTGGAGAGTACAAAGGCTGACTCCTTCCCTGTATGCTCATCTGTGTGTCACAGACCCGTATCTTCCAGGTAAAAGGCACAAGACGAGATAAAACAGGCAAACATTAATGGCCTTGATCTTGCTTGAATATATTTCTGTACTAAAAATAGTGATCATGATGACTAGTCATTTCTACGAATATTGGCTTTGAATGATTTGTCTCTTGTTTGCCTCAGAATTACGGAACCACAGCCATACACTGCCTAAAGGTGCTTAGACAAACGCAGACACAGGCGAAGGAACTCACACAGACTCCACTGCTCTATTTTTATCTTGAACAATGTCATCACAATTCAGTTTCAGGATGTAAAATGAGGATGGTTACCGACTCTACTGTGAGGTGCTCTGGGATTAATCAGCATTCGATACCGAGTGCCAGTGTTTAGATTTGACTCCAACACATACAACTTCTCATGTTTGGCTCCCACTTCCCTACTTGAAGTGCCTTCCTGAAAACTTTGTTTTAGATTCAGAGGATAACCTTTGAAAGCAGAACCTCAACTAATGGCGCACCAGCCTGGTTAAAAAATAAAACGGGCCAAGTGGACCTCCAGGATGTTAGCACTAACCAGGCATGTCTGCAGGGCTCTCAGGAAGAGAAGGAAACTCCCTAAGTGTCATGGCTCTTAAAACTCTCCTTTGCAGTTCTCCCTGCTTGTACGATGACGTGGCCACCTGGCCCATGGGTTCAGAGAAAGGGGGGAACGATCCAATCCTGAGGCGGCCCCTTTCCCCCAGTGTCCTCACAGCCCCGCAGCCGTGCCCTGTCGTCAGGACCAGGCTGCTGAGAGTGCCCAGTGTGTCCTCTGCGTGGTCAACAGGGGCGGGTGATTAACGAGGAGGGCTTTGGCTCCAGCACGCCTGTTCCTGTTGGCAGCCCTCCTAGCGTTCCTGCCTACCTGGGGCCCTGCAGTACAGCTGGCTCCTCCTCTCGCCCACTCCTGTCCAGCTCTCCCTGCAACCAAAACTACCTGCCTTGGGTACTACCTCTCCTGGGGGTTGGTGTGTCCGACAACTACCCGTAAAAGGGAAAAAAAAAGCGCCTCATCCATCAGAATTTCCTTCAGTCCAACCGAGCACGATGTACAGTGCATCTAGGTAGTTTGGGGATTAGATCATAGGAAAGCGACGCGGGGGTTAGGAAACTATGACTATCGGGTTAGGAACAGTTTCTGAACTCAGGCTAGGAACACATTCTTGGAAAAACTGAATGTAGTGTAAGAAACGAACAGGCCAAATGCTATGCACACTGGAGGGCTGTGGAGGCAGCTGATTATGGTGCTGGCAGCCACTGCTTCCAGGACAGATCTGGCAGTTACCAGAAAATGAGACCAAGGCCGCGTGGATGTACTTTCTTAAAAAGGGTGAGGAAAGTGTACTCCTCGTAGCTCCCAGCTCATCCAGCTTCAAAGCTCTTTGGGGGCCCTTCTCCCCTCTTTTGGTGCTGAATGTTCTTTGGGGTTCCTGCAAGTCACATGGCTAGCTTTTGCTGTTCCCTTTTAAACTTTCACGGGTAAATTTTCTTTCTTATTATAACCCACAGACAGTCCTAATTTATTTCAAAATCCTGTCGGGACTTCAACCTTTTCTCTATTTTTAGCCAGATGAAACAAGCAGATACTGTTTCATTACCTTCGGTTTTTCCTCCTCCCGGGGTAGCTTGGAGCATTTACAATGCCTGATGTCACTTTCTAGTTTGGTAAGGTTATTACTTCCCTGAGGTAGCACTTTATCCTTATTGAATTGTTTTCACTTGCATTATCTAACGAGTAAAAAAAAAAAAAATTATGTCGGTGGCCTGGGGTATTTCAGGTTCCTTGTTCCTGTCTGGAACAAGCATAAGGAGAAGCTCAGAAGCAAAGGAGTCCAGGAGAGAGGTAAACTCCACTCGTAACTGCTGACAACACTGGGAGGAACACTGAGAACCCCCGGTACGAGTGACGGTGGTTGGAGTCCATTTAAATTCCATTTTAAAGAACAGGCTGCCCCTGGCACTCTGCAGGACTTAAAGTAATCCAGGCAGCTGACATCTGAGTTACATCTGGATTACAGAGGCATGAAAAAGGACGTAGGTAATGGGAGAATAATAAAGGTCTGTTCCCAAGCTCTTCTTTATGACTAAGTACTTCTCCTCCATTAGATAATGACAATAGTTGTGATTCACAGGCTCATGTGCCAACCTCCCCAGGTAGGTCTCCTTAAGACTTTGTTAATGATGGCCTCCACATCAAAAGCTACATTTGTTGCCTCAACCAACTTTGTCTTCTCCACATGGAAAATAAATAAATTTATGGAGACATGAGAAGATGAGAAAATTACAGTGTGGGTTTAAGCAGCTTCAAGGTAGGAAAATAGATTCTTTCTGTCCTTCTGTTGTAGTGCATATAGCAGTTTTCATACCAAGGAAATAGGCTGATTTCTAAAATGTATTTTCTTTTAAGCTTACATTTTAAACAGAAACAAAGTTAAAATTAAATTGCAGATAAGCCCTACAAAGTGAAACTGAACATTAGGATAATAGATGGACTTAGAGAGGAAGGGAAAGAACGAGGTATTTTCCTAAACTGAATTAGGTGGATAATGTAGACTATCGTAATTATTACTACTACTATACTTACTACCATCACCACTACAAATAACACTAGATAACACTAGTGGGGATCGTTTACTATGTGCCAGGCATGAAACACGATCCTCACATGCATTATTATGCATAAACATCACAACAGTCCCATTAGCCTCAATGTACACATGAGAAAATGACACCTAAATTACTTAAGGTCAAGTTGCTAGTAGCATAAACAGGCTCATTTGCCTTCACTGCTACCTCTACAATTCTAAAATCATTTCCACAATTCTAGTAAGACATATTAGAGTTAGTGGTAAACATGCCAGTGTTCTCCTTGAGGACAGGGACGCTAATTTGTTTTTGTTTATTTTTCTCCTAGTGCTTTGAATAATAAGACCCTCAAGAAATGCGTACTCTATCGATTCAACTGATTTTTAACAGTGTTTGCAAACCACTTACTTAAAGAAAAAGTAGGCACAGAAAATTCTGTATTTCAGATGTACTCAGTGCAGTAAAAATCCAAGCAACATTGGAATATCTACCATGTCCCAGGGACAGTGCTGGATATGGAGGGGCATATGAAGCTGCCCAAGTCATGGTCCTTCACATCAGCAGATTAGATTTACAGTAAGTGGCAGCACATCAGAATATAGTCTCCTCCTCAGAGTGGTGCTCTTCCATCAGCATCATTGGCCCTACCAGGGAGCCAGTTAGAAATGCAGACTCTTACACCCCCCGACAGAGCTTCTGAAACCACATTTATCAAGATGCCCAGTCGTTTCATGGGCACATAGAAAGTTTGACAAGCATTCTTCTAGCACACTCATGGGACATAATGGAGATTAATGTAATTAACGAACCTTTACATCTGGCAGCAAAGCCAGGGGCCTGTGTACCCACAAGGAGAAACAGATCCAGATATTTTCATAGCACATGGAGGTCACAGCTGCCTGAAGAACCAGAGAGAGAGACAAGCAGCAGGAAGC